AGTATGTATGTCTAGCTATCTTTTGAATAACCAATTACATAATCACATACATTTGTTGAATTTAGAGTTGAAATTGTACACTGACCTCTATACAAGCAAGATGCATGTCCTGCAAGTAACACTGTTCATCTGAGCAAACCAATTGTTCCAGTAGTAGTGTTGCCATCTCTAAGGTAACAGGTCGAATCTTAGTATTGCTATACTGACAAGCCTGACTCATCACAGTTATCAATTTCTCTATCAACATCATATTATAATATTGTTTATTCTGCAAAAAAAAAAATTTGTTATAGAAATGTTGATGAACAGGCATTATTTTATATATTTAAGAGGGGCCCCTGAATATCAGCTGAACATCAGGAATGGAACGGCCATCCTCTATAAATATGGCATAAGAACTGAAAAAAAATCAGTTATAATGTGAAAAACAAAAAATGTACATACTTTAGACTGACTTGTCAAACAGACACCCTCCAAAAGGGATCGCTTAATTCCTACAAAAAAAAAGATAAAACAAACAATATTAGTCATACCAAAAATCATAACAATAATTATAATTAATAATAATATTAATAATGATAACATTATTAACAACAATGACAATATTTATAAGAATGAAATACCACTAAAATTTAAATTGATAATAAATACCTTGATTACATCCTATAGCATACAGCAGACACAAGGAAAATAATGCTGAGTAGTCACTATCAGCACATTTCAATGCTGTAAAGATGGACGCAAGGTATGGCCTGAAATCAACAGCATCATTCAAGTCACAATATAAATATTTAAGTATTAAAAGATACAGGAAACATTGAGGAAAAACAAATGATCAGCATTCAATCATTCACTCACAAATGGACATGCTTGTCTTTCTAATAGTACACATTGCACGCACATTACCACACACCATCACACACATCAACACATTATATCACATACATCACCACATACCATCACAAATATCACCACTAACCAATACATACCATCACACACACCTCATATACCATTGCATACCACCACATAACATCAGACACATCACCACATACCATCACATATATCACCCCTTACCATAATACACACCACCA